ATACAACATAGGGCAAAACATGCGTGTACCTGAGAATAAAGCAGGGGTAGAACAGTGGCTAACGATGTACAGGCAGTGAGTACGCTGGGGGCCAACGTGGTTAACCCTTAGCGGTTCTGGCATCTCCAATATATTATTAATGTTATTCACAATGGTGGGGTAGCTTAATGGTATTTAACTACTCTTATAATTTTACCCAATAAATTTGTGAACACCTCTAGGTACTGTGTGCATATTTCTGCGAGTTTTAGAAATGTGTACGTGAAAGGTGAACGATTTTAGGTGGAATTCTTTTAATTTGCCTTGTGGTGTGTGAAAAACACCTATACGTGGTAAAATAATAATAATTAATAATAATAATAATAATAATAATAGCATAATCAATAATAATAATAATAATAATAATAATAATAATAGTAATAATAATAATAATAATAATAATAATTCTTTTACATAGCATATTTTCTAATCGACGAGATGTTCAATGTGCATAACACATACAAAAATCACAGGGATGTGGAACACATGCGCAGTCGAGAAGAAGCAAAAATCTTTTTTACAGAGTTACACACGGATTGGGCATCCTCGTGCAATGAGTATATAGAAAACCCAAAAAATAAATAAAAGAAAAAGAAAAATAAATCACGGGAAGAGAAGCCTTTCTTAAAAGCCTTAGTCGTATCCACAGCTAATCGTAACAAAAGTTTCTTGTGAATTTAAAATAAGTACTGTCTTATCTAATCTTGTCATTCGAACAAAAACAAAGAAAAAAAGAATAGAAAACAGAAGAAGAAATGTTAGTGTTAGTGCATCAATGCTGCTTTCGTTGCCCTATCATTGTTATATAAGCCATGAAGAAGATACAATATACGTACAAAAAAAGTCTTTCCTAATCTTCCTAATCTTCTCTTAAACGCAAAATAGAGGGGAATTATGGAATAGACAGTTACTATTATCACAGTCTGATTGTGTTAGATAGTTCGTGAGGATAAAAGGCTCTTTCTTAAAACCAAAATCAATCACAAGAAAAAGAAAAGGGAAAGGAACTTCACATTGTCAAAGTCACCTGTCGTGTTTATATTTTACCTCCTTGAAGATTCTCGTTGGGATTTCTGTCTAAAGTTGTGTATTTATAATTTCATCTTTAGACAATTTACCTTAAACAAAAGGGATGAAATGAAAACGAAAAAGGGAACCAATGTGGATCTTACTTGAGCCGTTTCTTCGTACACATCCTGATGAAAAAATTTACATTGATATGAAACAAATAGGTCTAGTGAAATCTAATCCTGTGTAAATTCTTAAAGGACGAAGAGGAGACGATAATCTGATAAGCTGGCCGTGGGCAATGCTGTAGCATATTTTAAACCTCCAGACACAACTCATTACTATGAATTTGCGTGTGTTTCAAAGTATGTAGTATGTTGTTGCCTGCCTTTTTCAAATTTAGATAAAGAAAGCACGGCAGGATTGAAGAATACCAGACCAGCGGATTGGGACTACTTTTGGCTAAGTCTCAACCTTAGGAATTCATTATTTTCCCCAGTTGTAATATCTCTCAATGAATAATTTCGGACTGGTAGATCTGTTCTCTAAAAGTTTGTCGGGGGGAGACCCCCCTGAACCCCCCTCCCAGACCACTTCCTCCCCCCAGCCCCTCCCCCACCCCCATTCTCTCTGAATAATACGAGTGGTACGGTATTCTTCAATATTCTCGAAAGCAAAACTAGATAAACTGTGTGAATAAGAAAGTTATTATGCTCCTTTTTTATCGTGTTTTCAAGCAGTGTCCACAAACCAGAACTCGTGAAAAAGAGAAGAAGATAAAAGAAAGAGGAAAAGAAGAAATAGAAAAACGGAAAAGGAAAAAGAGAAGAAGGAAAAAAAGAAGAAAGTAGAAAGAGAAAAAAGAAAAGAAAGAAATAGGAAAGCGAAATAGAGAAGAAGAAAAAAGTGGGAAAAAAGGAATAGAGAGGAGGGGGGAAATGAAGCAGAAAACGTAAAAATAGAAAAAAGAAAAGGTGGAAAAAATAAATAATAATTACAAAGACAAAAAGAAAAAGAAAACTGAAGGTATAAGCAAACGGAAAAAATGGAAAGGAAAAGGAAAGAAGGGGAAAGAAAGAAAGAAAAGAAAAGAAGAAAAAGTGAAAAAGTAAAAAAGAAGAAAAAGAAAAGAATAAAAAAGAAAGAGGAA